CTTCGTCTCGTCATGCTGCCCTTGAAATATATCCTTGGCATTAAGTTGAATGTGCGGGGTGCCACAAACCTAAACCTGAAAGGGCCCTATGTCATGGTTGCCAATCATCAGAGCAACGTGGACTTCCTTGGTATGTTGGTGATATGATCAAGCTTTCATTTTTTATTTATACAATTGGAAGTGTTCAAAAGTAGCTTATGCTAGAACCAAGCACCAAGCAAAAAGTTGTTTTGATTACATTTTCCAGTATCTTCAGGCAGACTTGGTCCAAAAAGGTCATTTTAAAAAGCTCTATACATACTTTTATTTACACATGAGATAGGTTAATTAAAGCAAAATTGCTATGAACAAATAATCTTATAGAAAATTTTAAAGAAACATAACATGAGATTGCCACTTGTGGTAATATCAAGTGTGTAGTACTCTTGTTTGTTTAGCAGTAGCAGAAGACTACAGTTACATTTTCAAAAAAAGGTTACAAGTTTTAGATAACTGATTTATTTTGCTATGCTCAAATAGTGTAGCAAATATCACAATTTACCAAACAAGTTCCAAACAGTAGATTATAGGCTGTTTGTGAACAATAACAATACATTTTGGAGAGGTTCTGCATCCAAACTATAACAAAGCCCCACAAAATATTTGTTTTCTTGGTGTCTTGGTTTTTAGGCCTATTCCTGGGTTGTTCGGGGCACAGATTCAGAAAATTGCACTAGATAGACCTAATTAGCTCTAGCTTTTTAGTTATGGTTATCATGGTTCTCTATGGGCAAGCTAATGGCAAGTGGCCATATGTGATAGGGGAAAACAGATGACATTTCTGGAATCAGCAGGACAAATATATGCACAAACAGGGCTAAGATATGAGGCACCAAAACGTGTCTTGGTGGGTTGGATGATCCCACAAAAAAGTGGGTACAGACTTTGGCCACTGTTATCTGTCCTTATTTGAACTAATAGTTGAAAAATAGTGAGGAAGTACTTCTTAACTGTGAGAGCTGTTCAGTAGTGGAACTCTCTGCCCTGGAATGTGGTGGAGGCTCCTTCTTTGGAGGCTTTTAAGCAGAGGCTGGATGGCCATCTGTCGGGGTGCTTTGAATGCGATTTTCATGCTCCTTGGCAGGGGGTTTGACTGGATGGCCTGATTCTCTGAAAATTTGGCCAATGAGAATACTTTCCAAGGATCGACTGATAGAGATACAATGACATTCATGTATAAACTTACAATGGGATTTTCTTTTCCAGCACACTCTGGAAGTATGCTTTAAAAAGTTATTTTTAGAAAATATGGTAATGCTGGAAGGAGCTCTTTATATGCTGTCAAAGGTGATGACTGAGTACTGCTAAGAGTTACATTTATAGAGATCCCAAGGAACACAAACTATCTGCCTTGCTCTGTGCTCCTCCTCCATAATTATATTTGGGACACAGCTGGCTCAGTGACAAATAACTGCACCAAGTCATCTGTTTCTGATGAGAAATCCGTTGTAAATATTGTAAAGGAAAGAGCATGATCAAAGATGAACTGGGATATAATATCTACACTGAAAAATGAATGCAATTTGACATCGCTTAAACCAGGGGTCCTCAAACTTTTTCAAGAGAGGGCCAGGTCACAGTCCTTCAAACTGTTGGAGGGCCGGATTATAATTTGAAAAAACAAATGGATTCCTTTGAACACTGCACACGTCTTATTTGTAGTGCAAAAACCACTTAAAAACAATACAATAATTAAAATGAAGAATATTTAACAAATATAAACTTATTAGTATTTCAATGGGAAGTGTGGGCCTGCTTTTGGCTGATGAGATAGATTTGTTGTTGTTGTTGTGTGCTTTCAAGTCATTTCAGACTTAGGTTGACCCTGAGCGAGGGCCGGGTAAATGACCTTGGAGGGCCGTATCCGGCCCCCGGGCCTTAGTTTGAGGACCCCTGGCTTAAACTGTCATGGCTCAATGCCAGGGAGTCATGGAAGTTGCTTTGCAAGGTCTCTGCCAAAGAAGGTTGGTGCCTCACCAAATGACAACTCCCAGGATTTTATAGCATTGAGCCATGGCAGTTAAAGTGGGCTCAAATAGCATTAATACAGTGTAGATGTACCTCTGGTCTCCCCAGGCCACCATCAGTAAATATTTGTCTCTCGAGGGTCTATAGCAGTAGTTTTCCAACCTGTGGGTCCCCAGATGCTTTTGGCCTTCAACTCCCAGAAACCCTAATAGCTGGTAAACTGGCTGGGATTTCTGGAAGATGTAGGCCAAAACACCTGTAGACCCACAGGTTGAGAATCACTGATTTATAGAGTAAGGGTATAATTAGGCTTGGCTTTGACCATCTTCCTTCTCTCTCTCTCTCTCTCTCTCTCTCTCTCTCTCAGGGATGTTTCAGATATTGCCAGACCGCTGTACCTTAATTGCCAAGAAGGAGATCTTATATTATTTCACTATTGGCATTGTTACCTGGTTAAGTGGTATTATTTTCATTGACCGCAAAAATAGAGATACCACCATCAAGATCATGTCAGAAGCAGCGGACACCATGGTTCGGGACAATGTAAGTAAGCTGGGGGGGGGGGGGGGGGGGGGCTGCACCCACCTATCATGCAAACACCAACTGCCCAGTTAGGATTTCCATCTGCTGCACTTAACCTTGGTCTGAAGACAGACATTGAATTAAATGGCATTATGATAGTATCATTATAATTGTGTCACTGAATAGTATCAAAGTACTGTTGTGGGGGCAAAGAAACCAAAATAGTTCCCAAAATGCAGGAGCCCCCCAAGGTGGAGAGCAAGGAAGGACACCACAAAAGTTGAATCTTCAAACTGCAAAAATAATAAATAAATAAATAAACAAAAACAAACCCTGACCCACCAAAACCAACCAAAAAACCAAAACAAAAAAACCAAAACACCCCCCCCCCCCGCAACTATTTATTGTGTGGCCATAGCAATAATGACAAAACATTCATACAGGAATAAAATCGAAGGGTTTGTCGCAACCCCCAATGGGGCTGCAGGGTTTTTCTCATTTCTGGCAGTAAATTGAATATACATTCTCCTTGGTTTTCAAAGACAAATCATTTTATTGGTCTAAGCTAGCTATACAGTTGCTCATTGGTGTATGATTTATTTATATATTCCGCCCTTCTCACCCCGCAGAGGACTCAGGGCGGATTACAATGTACATATACATGGCAAACATTCAATGCCATAGACACATAACATATATAGACAGACACACAGAGGCTATTTAACATTCCAGCTTTTTCATGAGGGTATTCTGGCCACCAGGGGAGCTGTCACTTCACCGTCCATTTGTGACACTGATGAAGTACTTCCTCATTCTTTGCATGCTTGCTGGAGATTTTTATGGCTTTGTAAATTAGTTAAATTAGCTTCCCCACATAAGTGGTACCTAAATTTCCTACTTGACAGATGCAACTGTCTTTCAGGCTGCAAAGGTCGACAGCAAGCAACACAAATTGGTCAGAAGCTTACTCCGACCCAGGCTGGCTTCGAAGTCATGACCTTTATGATTTTGATTGACATTATAGCACACATGGGATCTTAACAATGGCACAATTATAACACAACTATAATCTATTATTCCTTGACCATGACTGTCAAAATGAATCAATCTTATCTGTTATTCTACTGCAAGCATACCTCCAAATCAACTGGGAAACTTGGGAGTTCTAACTAGCTACCAACTAGACAGTTTTGTCCGGATGTACTGTTATCCTTCAAAAGTAACTTTCTCTCTGCAGCACTGATTTCTCAAACAATCAGCATTCTCTGTAAACATAGGCCTACTGCAAAAACAGGCCAATACGGCAGTAAATCAGGACATATGGGCATTGGGAACATATCTGAAAATTCCCTTTTTAAAACCACGTCCCTTCTACTGTAATGGGATAGAACCCCCAGTGGCACAGCGAGTTAAACTGCTGAGCTGCTGAGTCGTCTTCGGGCTGAAAAGGGCGGGATAAAAGTGTGCCAAATAAATAAATTTACTGACCGAAAAGTTGGCAGTTCGAATCCAGGGAGCGGGGTGAGCTCCAACTGTTAGCCCCAGCTTCTGCCAACCTAGCAATTCGGAAACATGCAAATGTGAGTAGATCAATAGATACCGTTTTGGCAGGAAGGTAACTGCACTCCATGCAGTCATACTGCACCAGCCACGTGACCTTGGAGATAACACCAGGTCTTTGGCTTAGAAATGGAGATGACCTTCCCAGAGTTGTACACAACTAGATTTAATGTCAAGGGAAAACCTTTACCTTTACTGCTGTAATGGGGTAGCATGAAAGACATCAAATTCCACCCTGATTCTGTTTTAACTGCCATGGCCCTCTCCAATGGAATTCTGAAATTTTAGTTCCACAATGTAGTTAGATTTCTATGCCAGAGAATTTTAGTTCCTTGTGAAGTGACAAATCAGAGCTTTTTGCTAGATGTAGTTACAGCACTTAAAAAACTATCAGAGAGGTGCAAGCAGCAACCTCTGCTGTTTGTATTGATTTCTTGGATCTACACCAGTGCTTTTCCATAGTTATTTTTATACCATTAGCATGGCTTGATGAGGTGGTTTGGAGGTTTGAAATATATTTTTCCTACTTACTTTTTTTGGTCTTTTTAAAGAGTGTAAAATTCTATAATGCAAACAATCCTATAGTACAACAACGTTATTTCACTTATTGACTGATTCGTTGATCAAGTGAATAACTGCATTTCTAAGTGTAGGAAATTAAAGGAGTAGGTGTATTTCTCCCAATAGATTCCAGATTTTTTTTTAAAAAAACCCTCTTGAGGTTGGGAACAAAATATTGCAGGTTGTGACAAGCATAGCAACGAAACAAGCCAACAGAAACATAATTTGGATTTGTTGTCGAAGGCTTTCACAGCCGGAATCACTGGGTTGCTGTGAGTTTTCCGGGCTGTATGGCCATGTTCCAGGAGCATTCTCTCCTGATGTTTCACCCACATCTATGGCAGGCATCCTCAGCCAGGAAACAATCATGTCTGTTGGAGGCAAGTGTGAATGTTGCAATTGGTCACCATGATTAGCATTGAATAGCCTGGCAGCTTCAAAGCCTGGTTGCTTCCTGCCTGAGGGAATCCTTTGTTATCGTAGGAGGTGTTAGCTGGCCCTCATTGTTTCCTGTCAGGATTTCCCGTTTTCTGAGTGTTGTTCTTTATGGCAACATTCACACTTCCCTCCAACAGACAAGAGTTCTTTCTCCCACCCTGGACATTCCAGATATATAAACCTCACTTGCCTAGTTTCCAACAGACCTCACAATCTCCGAGGATGCCTGCCACAGATGTGGGTGAAATGTCAGGAAAGAATGCTTGTGGAACATGGCCATACAGCCTGGAAAACTCACAGCAACAATTTGGATTGTTTTACTCCTCTCCTCCCCGAATTACAGCTAAAAAATACTAGAGCTTCCTGACACATATACTCCGTATAGAGGGGTTCCTTTTTGGTTTTGGGGTTATGAACGAGGCTGTGCAACTGGGAAAACATCCATTGTCTCACAACTAGTAAAAGCAAACTACAAGAAATAGTATGTCAGGGAGCAACTTGCCACCAAGGCTATTATTGTGTTCTGTTTCCAGCTATAAAGGCAGGAAAGTCATATGTAAATGTGGATCAATTTTGTCTATTTTGTCTCCCATCCAGCTGCGACTTTGGATATTCCCTGAAGGAACTCGATCCAACAGCTCCACGATCTCGCCCTTCAAAACTGGAGCCTTTCATCTTGCAGTAAAAGCCCAGGCAAGAACATCCCAATTTTTATGCCTTTCCCTTGTTCATATAAGTACCTATATAACAGTGTTTCTCAACCTGGGGGTTGGAACCCCTGGGGGGGGGGTCGTGAGGGGGTTGTCAGAGGGGTCACCAAATACCCTCAGAAAACATAGTATTTTCTGTTGGTCATGGAGGTTCTGTGTGGAATGTTTGGTCCAATTCTATTGTTGGTGGGGTTCAGAATGCTCTTTGTTTGTAGGTGAACTATAAATCCCAGCAACTACAAGTTTATTTTCCCAAAACTCCCCCAATGTTCATATTTGGGCATATTGAGTATTCGTGCCAAGTTTGGTCCAGATCCAGATCATTGTTGGAGTCCACAGTGCTCTCTGGATGTAGGTGAACTATAACTTCAAAAATCAAGATCAAAGCCCACCAGGCCCTTCCAGTATTTTCTGTTGGACTTCTGTGGGAGTCCTGTGTGCCAAGGTGGTTCAATTCCATTGTTGGTGGAATTCAGAATGCTCTTTGATTGTAGATTAACTATAAATCCCAGAAACTACAACTCTCAAATGACAAAATCACACACCTCCAACCCCACCAGTATTCAAATTTGGGCGTATCGGGTTTTTGTGCCAAATTTGGTCCAGTGAATGAAAATACCTCCTGCATATTTACATTATTAATCGTAACAGTTGCAAGTTTACAGTTATGAAGTAACAACAAAAATAATTTTATGGTTGGGGGTCACCACAACATGAGGAACTGTATTAAGAGGTCGCGGCATTTGAAAAGTTGAGAAACACTGCTATATAAAGTCATCACATTCTTCAAATGCCTGTCCTTTTCTAGGCACATGACAATCATTGTGGGGAAATAGTCAGTGATATAGAGAGATAACAAAATTCAAAAGATTTCTTGATTTGGCATGTGTCACCTTGTAATTAGGGCCCTCCTGGTGGCATAACGAGTTAAATTGCTGAGCTGCTGAACTTGCTGATCAAAAGGTTGGTGGTTTGAATCAGGGGAGTGGGGTGAGCTCCCGCTGTTAGCCCCAGCTTCTGTCAAACCTACCAGTTAGAAAACATGCAAATGTGAGTGTTTCAGTAGGTTCCGCCTTGGCGGGAAGGTAACAGTGCTCCATGTAGTCATGCTGACCACATGACCTTGGAGGTGTCTACGGACAACGGCGGCTCTTTGGCTTAGAAGTGGAGATGAGCACCAACTTTCAGAGTTGGACACGACTAGACTTAATGTCAGGAGAAACCTTTACCTTTTAACCTTGTAATTATGGAGGTAATGGGGCTGCTGTTCTTAATTACTGGATATACTCATGTAAAAGCCAACCTCATATAGAATTTGAGGACAGGTTTGGGGGGCAAAATAATAGATTTTGATATGTTCCTATATATAAGTCAAGGGCCATTCTATGGAGAGAGAAAAGCACCATCACCATTTCAAGGGGGCAGCTGCCCCTCCTGCTGCAGCTGCTGCTCCTGCTGCAGCTGCTTTTTCTCACCCAGATATTAAACCCCCCCAAAATAGAAGTATCAACAATCATACCATCACCACCACCCAACACACAAACACACCTTAGAAGCTTACCTCATTGCATTTGCCTTTTTCCATTTTGGTGACTTATTGACAACTGCATAACTTGACAAGGTCATTTTTGGACTATAACTTCCAGTTTAAAGCTCGTTGGGTGACTGGGAGTTATATTCCAAAAAAGTAATCTTGTTTCTCTCCCTGGTCTCGCAACAAGATTCTCCTTACACATATTTGTGGATATGTATTTTCCTCTGCTTGCTGTGTCCGGTATAATTTTGTCTTGTTGTTTTCATGCAGGTGCCAATAATTCCTGTGGTTATGTCCTGCTACTTGCCGTTCCTCAACACAAAGCTGAACAAATTCACAACAGGTAGCTCAATTGGAATGGGATGGGAAGAACAGAATCACTAAGTTGGAAGGGGCCACATAGAATCATAGAGTTGGAAGAGACCTCATGGGCCATCCACTCCAACCTCCTGCCAAGAAGCAGGAATTTTGCATTCAAAGCACCCCTGACAGGTGGCCATCTAGCCTCTATTTAAAAACCTCTAAAGAAGGAGCCTCCACCACACTCTGGGGCAGAGAGTTCCACTGCTGAGCAGCTCGCATAGTCAGGAAGTTCTTCCTCATATTCAGATGGAATCTCCTGGGCCATCGTTCCTAACCTCTTGCTTAGCTTGGGTTCTCCAGCTAAAACATCCCCAGCACAGTTGTCCACCCTCTTTTTACAGAATTTCAGAGAGATATTCCACCACTTCTATAGGCAATTGTTTCCATTGTCAAAGCACTCTAATTGTCAGGAAGCCACTTCTAATGTTCAATCAAAATCTACTGTCCTGTAACTTCAAATCTAATCCTACCCTCTGTGGAAACAGAGCCTTAACTTTTGAGGTGTTTAAAGTGTGCAGTTGCGTCACCCTTTAATCTTCTCAAGCCTAGCTTCTTTAACCTTTCCTCGTTTATTGTGAATTTATTTATTTATCATATTTAATTACCAAGAAACCAATTGGGTTTTGGCCTGTGTCTAGATCCAGGGAAGTCATGCCACCTCTCTATTCTGCCTTGGTCAGACCACACCTGGAATCACACTGTGTCCAATTCTGGGAACCACAATTGAAGAGAGATATAGACAAGCTGGAAATGGAATGTGTCCAGAGGAGGGTTACTAAAATATCAAGGGTCTGGAGAACAAACCCTATGAGGAGCAACTTAAAGAGCTGGGCATGTTTAGCCTGCACAAGAGAAGGCTGACATGAGACATGATGAGGGCAGTTGTATAAATGATGTATATGATGTATAAATATGTGAGGGGAAGTAATAGGGAGGAGGGAGCAAGCTTGTTTTCTGCTGACCTGGAGACTAGGACATGGAACAATGGCTACAAACTACAGGAAAGGAAATTCCACATGAACATTAGGAATAACTTCCTGACTGTGAAAGCTGTTCAGCAGTGGAACTCTCTGCCCTGGTGTGTGGTGGAGGCTCCTTCTTTGGAGGCTTTTAAACAGAGGGTGGATGGCCATCTCTTGAGGTGCTTTGAGTGTGATTTTCCTGCTTTTCAGTAGGGGCTTGGACTAAATGGACCACATGGTATTTTCCAACTCAACAATTCTATAATTCTATGACATTTATACTCTGCCCTTCTCAACCCCAAAGGGGACTCAAGGCGGCTTTACACATAGGCAACTATTCAATGCCTTAAAACAACGTACAATTAAAATAAACATTTAAATTGCAGAATTAGAATATGGTAGCCCTGTTGGCAGGGTATGTGTGTTGAACAGACACAAACCCTTTCTAATGCCAAGGAGGTTCTATACATTATGCAACTGAATTCATTTGCAAATGCCTCACCTGTTAAACTATTAAAAAGATTCCATAACATTTACTTTATTTGATCTACTTTATTTGATCTTTCCTCTCCTTCAAGGGGAAGTGACAATCCAGATTCTTCCTCCAATCAAGACAGAGGGACTGAGTCCAGCTGATGTTCCTGAATTAACAGATCGCGTACATGAGATCATGCTTTCCACTTTCCATGAGCTACCAGGAAATCCTTCAAAGCAACCCTCCAACACCAAAGAAGATGCCCACCAAGCCACCAGTAGCCAGGAATCCTAGAAATTAATCCTCCAGCTGCACCGTGTACTTCCCTTTCCAGGCACAGTGACAAAAACTATATTTTTAATATCTAGTAGTTCATATTTTATTTTGGCAACCAGCCACCCCATTTGGAGATTGCACTGCTCTATATGCAAAGGAATTAATTTTTTCCATTTCAGGAGCGACTTGAGAAACTGCAAGTCGCTTCTAATGTGAGAGAATTAGCCGTCTGCAAGGACGTTGCCCAGGGGACGCCTGGATGTTTTACCATCCTGTGGGAGGCTTCTCTCATGTCCCTACATGAGAAGCTGGAGCTGACAAACGGGAGCTCACCTTGCTCCCTGGATTCGAACTACTGACCTTTCAGTTCAACCCATTGTGCCACTGGGGACTCCTAATGACAGTATAATTTATTGCTACTGACAAAGGTTGTGAAAACTGAGTGAATTAGAAACGGAAAAATATCTGCATGGATCATCTGCATGGATCATGGATTACTGACATTTTTTACGGTCTGGAAATTTCTGATTGACTTTTTTGAGAAAAAAAAGAAGGGAAAATGACTTGATAGCTGGTTGTTTTGAGTAGGATTTGGTTATCTGAAGAAGTGTATGCCCAAATTTTATAGTGAGAGGAATTATTATATGATATGTATCTAACTACCAAAAAGAAAGCTGGAAGGCACTTTTCTACTTTTCTGTATTTCCATCCTTGTCTTACTTGTTCTTTTCCTGCTATTTTCCCTCTCTTCAGTTTCTTTGTAGTATTTTTTCTTTAAATAATCATGAATTTTGTTGTGTTTTTGAAATTCTTAATAAAATTATATTTAAAATAATAGTAATAAATAATAATAATAATAATAATAATAATAATATAATAATAGTAATAATAGAAACCCACTGAGTGAACTTGGGCAACACATGCCCAGCATCGGATTCTTCAGAGGCAAAGCTCATTCTGAAGAAATCTTGCCAAATAATACTCCATGATAGATTCGTCTTACTACTTTACGTGGATTCACTAGAGAATGAATCCACATAAATCCAGTTTCTGTCTCCTGCAGAATTCCTTGGTTTGTAGTTTAGTGAGGCTGTTAAAGGCTCCTCCCTCAACTACAAACCCCAGAATTCTGCCAGAGGCAGCACCCGGATCAAAAGTGGATTCATTCTCTAGTGTGAAGAGGTGCCATGAATTGGAAATGACTTGAAGATAAACAATTGGACATCACCATTCAAAAAGCATATGGTTAAGTTGGAACGTGTCCAGAGAAGAGCAGCCAAAAAGGTCAATGGTTTAGAAACCAAGCCTTGTGAGGAACATGAGCTGGGTATGTTTGGCTCAGAGAAGTGAAGGTTAAGTTGAGACATGATAGCCATGTATAAATCAGAGAATCAGAGAATCAAAGAGTTGGAAGAGACCTCATGGGCCATCCAGTCCAACCCCCTGCCAAGAAGCAGAAATATTGCATTCAAATCACCCCTGACAGATGGCCATCCAGCCTCTGTTTAAAAGCTTCCAAAGAAGGAGCCTCCACCACACTCCGGGGCAGAGAGTTCCACTGCTGAACGGCTCTCACAGTCAGGAAGTTCTTCCTCATGTTCAGATGGAATCTCCTCTCTTGTAGTTTGAAGCCATTGTTTCGCGTCCTAGTCTCCAAGGAAGCAGAAAACAAGCTTGCTCCCTCCTCCCTGTGGCTTCCTCTCACATATTTATACATGGCTATCATATCTCCTCTCAGCCTTCTCTTCTTCAGGCTAAACATGCCCAGCTCCTTAAGCCGCTCCTCATAGGGCTTGTTCTCCAGACCCTTGATCATTTTAGTCGCCCTCCTCTGGACACATTCCAGCTTGTCCATATCTCTCTTGCATTGTGGTGCCCAGAATTGGACACAATATTCCAGGTGGTCTAACCAAAGCAGAATAGAGGGGTAGCATTACTTCCCTAGATCTAGACACTATGCTCCTATTGATGCAGGCCAAAATCCCATTGGCTTTTTTTGCCGCCACATCACATTGTTGGCTCATGTTTAGCTTGTTGTCCACGAGGACTCCAAGATCTTTTTCACACGTACTGCTCTCGAGCCAGGCATTGTCCCCCATTCTGTATCTTTGCATTTCGTTTTTCCTGCCAAAGTGGAGTATCTTGCATTTGTCCCTCTTGAACTTCATTTGCAAAAATACAGAATGGGGGACCATGCCTGGCTCGAGAGCAGTATGTGTGAAAAAGATCTTGGAGTCCTCGTGGACAACAAGCTAAACAAGCTAAAAATATTTGAAAAGATGCCATATTGAGGACAGGGAAGGCTTGTTTTCTTTGCTTTCCCAGGGTTGAAGACAGGCATGGGCAAACTTGGGCTCTCCAGGTGTTTTGGACTCCAACTCCCATAATTCCTAACAGCAGCAACAACAAAACTTTATTTATATACTGTTCTATCTCCCCGAGGGGACTCACGAGTGGTTTTCCAAGTAACATCATATGCAGAGTAAACAATATAAACATAAAATCAAAAAGGGAATATAAGCATAAAAAATCACAAAAGCACATCTATATAAATAAAAAAGTAATGTTCATTTGTGGGATTAACATAATTCAAAAACCACTGGACGAATCGACACCAAATTTGGACACAAGACACCTATCAGGCCAACGAGTCACCATCACTCATTAAAACACTGAAAAACATAGCAAAAGAGACTTAAACACAAAAAAACAAAACAAAAAACATTACAACTCATGCGTACAACCACATATATACACACACAAAACACATATACACAGACAGGGCCACAGCAATGTGTGGAAGGGGACTGCGAGTCTATATAAATAAAAATGTAATGTTCAATTGTGGTATTAACACAACTCAAAAACCACAGGACAAATTGACACGAAATTTGGACACTACCTCCCTAGCAGATCAACGAGTGACCATCACTCATAAACCCCTCCCAAAATATAGCGGAAAGGACTTAAAAATCCAAAAAATCTAAATGGTGATACAGCGCATGTGCGAAAACGACAGCTCCCAGCATCCCCTAGACCAGGCCCTTTAGGAGAAGAGGATGCTCCAAATGTCCAATGACCAAACAATAGCTTAGGCCCTCAAGTTGGATCCGAGTTATTGTGTTAGTCCTTTGACTCATCATCTTTGTCTAGCCCAGTGGTTCTCAACCTGGGGTCCCCGGATGTTTTTGGCCTTTAACTCCCAGAAAACCTAACAGCTGGTAAACTGGCTGGGATTTCTGGGAGTTGTAGGCCAAAACACCTGGGGACCCACAGGTTGAGAACCACTCTCCTAGAAGTAGTAGCCAGGGTCCATTCATAAAACAGGAGTTTCATTCATAAAAAAGGAATTCAATTAATAAATAATAGCCAAATTGGTCAGATGCTAGTTTGGGTTACAGGGACATTGCTATGTGGGGCCATGGAAGAAGCCTTAGGTTCCCACATGGGGGAGAGATAGGGGATTATGGGATCATTCCAGCCTGGTGTCCTTGGCAAAACTATGAATTCCCTGATTTTGAACTATCTTTTATCCTGGGGGGGGGGGGGGGGTGCTTTTATAAGATTGGAGGGCTTTGATTGTGTATTTCTTAATGCCAGAATGGGGTTACACTGGATGGCCCTCGGAGGGTGGGGAGGGGGTGGTCCTGTGCAGGTACAAGCTGTACCAGGAGCTCCAATTTTGTTTGCTTTGCATTGAATGTTTGTTGTAGTCCTAAGTTTCAGGGACTCTGCAGATAGGTGGCTTCTTTTGGCTGCAATCATAGGGCAAGCCACCTGTCAATTATCGTTAGGTTCCCTGGTCCCATCCCTTTTTGGGTTTTGTAGGGAATAGGAGCCATTTTGGGCCAGTCCACACAGAGAAGCCTTTCATGCAGGACATAATACCAAGAGCTCCTGTAGAAAGCTTCGTCTTCTACAGCTTGGCCGGGGAGAAAGGTCCCGTAGCTTGGCCGAGGATTATACAGCCTTACAGCTCCTTTGCTGAGGGACGGAAACCATCAGTCAGCCATCACGGAAACCTGAATTCTTTTTCCCCTGGAAGTCTGCAAAGCTCTGCTTGGTAAGGGTCACTCGCGGAAGCCAGAAGCAGTTGGTACCGGGTGCAGGGGCTCCATGCCAACAGAGGCAAAGACAGACTGCCAGATTAGAAGTTAAGGATTTCCCCATTAGTTACGGTTATGAAGATAGTGCCTGTTCCCTGTGGACAAGATTGAGAGAGAGCCATAGACTGCTAAGAAAACCTTAAAGTACCTGTTTGTTTTCATTAATAAAGAACTTTGTTGAACCTTTAAGCCATCTAAAGACTCTGTTTTAAGGAAATCCAAAGGCCTTTAATCTGAGGCAGCCCCAGCGTCCCGTTGGGCACACAGAATTTATGTCCTGTCTACAGTCTTATGCACAGGCCCAGCTTGCGACAGCACAGGTCCAACTCTTTTGATTTGAAATACAATAAGCAGCATTATAAATTATGAGACATACATTATGAGACATGTCCAACTGCTAAGCAAATTCTTTGCCTGGCCTCCTGCTTTCACTCCTGTCTTCATAGAAACGGCAGGCCTCGAAGCCAATGAGGAATTGTACCTTTGCAGGAAAGAAGAGCAGGATACAAAGCGTAACAATGTAAACACATGTATGAAAGAGCTTTTTCGCTTGCTTGCACTCGAAACATAATGCCCCTATTATAATCTGCTGTCGCTCTCGGGTCTCATATGTCAGTCTCCTTTAGTCTGTCCTGGGGCCGCATCCTGGCAAAGCAGCATTGTGAGGCAAGCACGTGTTGCCGTGGCAACAGACACAGCATCAGCGGCTGGGCCTGTACCGGAGAGCGGCCCGCTTTTGGGGAAGGAGCCCACAATCTGAATGTGGGGCAAGAGACACATCCCTCACACACCCTCCCTGAAGGCCGGACCCCCTTGACCTTGAGATCTCAGCCTTAGTGGATCCAGGTAAACACAACCCCTGTGGGCCTGTCTCAGCGTAGTCCTCAGGGTTGGACTTGGCAGGGGAGCAGGGAGTGGCTTTCGAGGAGGAGGGGAAAAAAAGCAATTCCTGTCTGAATTTGGGGAGGGGAAATACATGGCCAAAACTCAGTATGCAAACATTTCTATTTCAACATATGAAATTTGAATATCATTGACTGCAAACTTTTATGATTTCCCATTTCCTGATTTTTGCTGTAGCACAAATTATAGTTTGAAATGAGACTCTCCGTCCATATGCACCTGCTCAGATGAAAGCCACTCACCCAAATCTACAGTACTATTAGCAAACATTGATTTTTTAAAAAATGTGGAATAAGTTAAACTGGTGGCACAGTGGGTTAAACCACAGAGCTGCTTGACTTGCGGACTGAAAGGTTGGCAGTGCGAATCCAGGGAGTAGGGTGAGCTCCTGCTGTTAGGCCCAGCTTCTGCCAATCTAGCAGTTTGAAACCATGCAAGTGTGAGTAGATCAATCAGTATGGCTTCGGGAGCCCCCGGTGGCGCAGTGGGTTAAAGCCCTGTGCCGGCAGGATTGAAGACCGACAGGTAACAGGTTCGAATCCGGGGAGAGGCGGATGAGCTCCCTCTATCAGCTCCAGCTCCTCATGTGGGGACATGAGAGAAGCCTCCCACAAGGATGATGAAAACATCAAATCATCCGGGCGTCCCCTGGGCAATGTCCTTGCAGACGGCCAATTCTTTCACAACAGGAGCAACACCTGACATGACAAAAAAAAAAGTATGGCTTCTGCAGGAAGGTAACTGCGCTCCATGCAGTCATGCAGGCCACATGACCTTGGAGGTATCTAGGGACAACGCCGGCTCTTCGGCTTAGA